GGCCAGAGTATGAGGCAGCGCGGGAGCTGGCCGCTAGTTCCATAATTTAAGCGCCGTTTCCCTGCCTGGAGTGACCTTGAGCCGGCACTTGGCTTCGCAGGGACGCGCTCCCTCGATGGCAGCAGCCAGCGCAGCGAAGCCGATGCGATGCTTCATAACCGGGGGGGGTGGGGGTCACCCTATTGCAGCAGGGGAAACTGAGGCACGAAGCGGTGGCGATTCTGGATGCAGTTCATTGCAGCCCTTAGCGGTGTCAGCCTGGGAGGGACCGGCGAGGTCTGGGCATGGGAAAGGGGGAATGGCTTTACACCGCAACCGGAATGCCCGGCTGTGATGTGCACGGATCTCGGGATGGCGAAGGCTGCCAGCGCCCAGCGCTGCCAAGCAGGATTAAGTCCTGGCACGATATTCCTGGGATCGAGCTGGGCCCTTGGATTCGGCAGCACTGGCAGGAGGGGGAATGGTGGGCACACGCCGCTAACGGACGGCTTTAGCACCAGCCGCCTGCTCGGCAGCAAGGCGGCCAAAGGACCAAAGCGCGTCGGTGGTGGAGCCCAGCTGGAGAAAACCACGGCTCCGGAAAAATGCTCTGGAGCGTCCCGCGCCTGTGCCGGCATCCACAAGCACGATGCTGGCTCATGGCCACACACTCAGATGTTTCTGGTCTCTTTTTTCACCTATTCCCCCCTCCCCTCCCCGCATTCATAATCCCCATTAATCGTGGTAATGGCGTTAACTTTCGTTAACTTCCATCCGTTACCCAGCGATGGCGGAGGGAGGCCGGCAAGCGAAGCGTCCCGCCGCCCGCTAATTCACGGCGCGAGACGGCATCAGGGCTAATCCGCCCCGCAAACTTTAATAAGGGGCGCGCTAATGACCGGTGGGAACGGGGGACTTGGGAAGGACGCGATGCGATGGCGCTCTACGGACCCCGCGCTTCCCTCGCACGGGGGCTCGGTGCCCTCTGAGGGCGCACGGGCTCACTGCAGCCCCCAAATCCACGGGGTGCAGCCGGACCCCCGGCGCCCTGCCAAGACGGCGCCAATCAGCATCGCGAGAAGCGCCATAAAACGCCTTCAAATACCCCGTCGAGCCCAACTTATAACGCTAGGGCGGTTTTGCCAGCAGCAGGACCCTCCCCTTGCGTCTCGCCCGCCCTCGCCCCTCTCCAGCTCCAGTTTGCCCGCCCAGGCCACCCACGCCACCCCCCAGCCAGGTCCCAGGAGACGCAGCGGCTTCTCCTTTTCGGTCTGAGCCGGGCCCTGCAAAACCCCTGCGATGGGTTTAATACGGCTGCGTGCGGCCCCATCCCTGCCTGGGCGGCGGCGCCGTAGGGGATTTAGGGTGTCGCTGGGGCCGGCGGGCGCCGGCAGAGGAAAAAAAAACCCTCACCCCCTCCACGTACCATTTTATCTGCGTTGAATTTAATCCTTGGCGACCCTTGTATTTACCTTGGTAAATCAATGGCTGTTACAGGCTTTTTTTTTTTCCCTAGGAAAGCTCAGGTAGTTTAATTTATTGCATTTAATTGCCGTATCAAAGGCTTTCAGAAGACGAACAGAAAGCGCTGCGGGGTGAATTTCCACAAGCACTTACCATTTTAAAAGGGAGAGGAGAAGTTGGGCGATAAAAGGGAATTTTCAGGCTGATTTGGGGCTGCGATCAGGGCGACTGCGAGCCCAGCGCTGGGGCAGGGAACCCGGGCTGGAGGCGCGCAAGGAATACGGGAGGAGAGAGAAAAAAGGCAGCCGAGGAATTGGGGGGGAATTACTGGGCTTCTGCACAACCCCACCTTGCTGAAGGAAGGGTAATTAAAGCCGTGGTCTAATTAAGGTGTACCTTGCCCCCCCGCCCCGATGGCGGTCGGGCGACTGCGAGCCCAGCGCTGGGGCAGGGAACCCGGGCTGGAGGCGCGCAAGGAATACGGGAGGAGAGAGAAAAAAGGCAGCCGAGGAATTGGGGGGGAATTACTGGGCTTCTGCACAACCCCACCTTGCTGAAGGAAGGGTAATTAAAGCCGTGGTCTAATTAAGGTGTACCTTGCCCCCCCGCCCCGATGGCGGTCAGCCTTCAAAGGAAAATTAATGAGGCGGAGCGAGGCGGGGGAGGCAGCACGGCGGGGCGCAGCATCCATGGCCGGGGGTCTGCGCCGGGGCCGCGGGAGCAAAACTGGACTCAAACCAAATGCAAAGGAGCTTCCCCAGCCCCTCCACCCCTCCCGACCCGCGGGGCCGGCACAGGTCCCAGTCGCACCAGCAGGGCCGGGGTGGGCAAAGCCTCCGGGCTGCAAATAAATATTTTGAGACGAGCCAGAATCTGGCAGGGGGGGATGAGGGGGGAAGAAAAAAAGGAAGGTTTTTACGTTAGTTAGAG